TCATAGGCAATTCGATGTGCTTTCCATTAGCAAGAATAGCAAGAACATTAAAATTAACGTGACTGCACAATCACAATACACACAAATACTTTTCAGATTTAAGAGTTAAAAAAAAGACTAAGTTAAAGGGTGAGTTGCACAAGGTGCAGTAGTCATTCAAAGGCTGATGAATACATGAAATATTTTGTTTAAAAAGTCACTAGAGTTGGGGCACATTTGAGGTGATGAGGAAGCTGATTCCATCTGTGTGCAGCATAGTAGCTAAAAGCAGCTTCACCCTGTTTGGTTCTGACCCGAGGTTCTGCCATAGGGATCTCAGAGCCCTGCTGGGCGTATAGCATACACAGGAAGGAGATCCGACATGTATTTTGGCCCACTGAATGATTTATAAACTAGTAGAAGCACTTTGAAATCGATTTTGTAGTTTACTGGTAACCAGTGTAGAGATGTGTAGATGCATTTTTCTGTGCACCTTGACAAGTCCCTTTCTTCATAAAAACAAAAGGAAATTAAAAAAATCTTGAAAAATTGTTAATGGAAATATAAAAAATACATCAACAGAACAGACAAATAAATGAAAAACCAAAATAAAGATACATTGTTTGCAAATTTATATCAACATACACATATTGAAAAACAGCTTTTAACTAGAAAAATATGTATTTGATGAATAAAAATGATTGAAATAGAGAATTTTATGAGAAATGTATGACTTAATCAAAAAATGTTTCAAAAATTGATTATTTTAAAATGAAAGGAAAAAATTAGGTTACAATTAAATGATGAAAACATATTTCATTTAGTAAAGTCTTTATTCTGCTCATTTATATTTTATAAAATGTTATTATATTACTTGGGTTGTTCAGTTTTGCACAAGATTACAGAAATAAAGCTAATGGCATGCAACAAGTTCACCTAGCTTGAGGGGAGGGGCTTGTTGCAATATGAAAGCTCCAGCAGTGGCCTCATGTGACTGCAGCAAAACTAATGCTTCAGGATCACTCCAGCCAAGACCACCCACACTGTAAAGTTTAATGCCTGATTTTATTATTACAGAGAGAGTGTCTGCCTTCAAAAACCAAACACAGGGAATAGTTTCCACAGAAGCGAGTTCTGAGAGATGCCATGTAACTCCAAGGAAGAAATGTTTGCAAATAAATGAGATGCACAAACTGGAGCTGGAGTCATACTCTTTAAGATGCTAAAACACTGAATGAGCTGGAGTTCATTTTACATGGGATTTGTCACTTACACGTCAAGGCATGGAGCGAAGTGTCCTTTTAACCAGTGACGTGTGTGTTGGCTTCTGAATCCACTGATGAGCTGGTTTAAGAGCATCAGTCACAGAAACTGCTGACAAATTAGGATTAGGAGCATTTCTTTAAAAAAAATGTCATCAGCCGCAGCAGGCTGAAACTGTCACGCGTGAGAGCAGAAGGTTAGGACCCAAGATGCAGAACCCAGGACGACACGAGGCAGGAGTGGTGATTAAAGTAAAATCCTTTATTTAGGATGACAAAAAACAAATAAAAATCCAAAAGGAGAGGAAACCAAAACCTAATAGCAAAACACTGCAAGGACAAAACCAAAAGCTCACTTTATGAGCAGAGAACGAGAGACCAAGAGAGGGGACAAAACAACGCTGACAAACTTCAATGGACCAACAAACACTGAGGGACAAGACAGGGTTTTAACACAGAGGGGAGCAATCAGGGGAACATGTGACAGGTGTGGGGAGTGAGGTCTAGAGGGAAGACAGGTGCCACTAATAAACTAAAGGGGGAAAGAACTTAAGCAGAGGGGAAGATAAACCATTATCTATAAAACACTAAATAACTAAACCTAAAGACTAAGGGCAAAGATAAACAACTAATGACTAGAGGGGTGAGGAGGACTAATACAAACCAATAAGAACTACACGGGATTGACTAAGAGGAGACATGAGGGAAGCCTAGAGGGAGCTGGAGAGCACAAGGAGACACATGAGGGGGAACGCAGAGGACGAACAGGAGGGGGCTGGGGACCAAGGGGACACAGAACATGACAGGAACATTGGTTGTGGCACGTACCTACTCCTTCTACAGGGCTAAACAGCAGTAGTGCAAATGATTGCAGGAAAGCCGATGTCATTTCATCAAGCAAGCCTTGAAATTACAACTCGTATCATTAGAGTGAGGCTTGTGCTTCATCAGATAGGGAGATGAAAGAGGGCAGGATGTAATTATGAGTGCTTCTCACGTGTATAGGAAGTTATGAAAGTGGAATAATGAGCTGAAGGAGCACTTAGAGAGGAAGGTGATGTTGAGGAAACAGGTGGGTTGATCACAAGTGGAGGCATGGAGGACATCTGATGGTACAGGAACAATAAGGCACAGTGTCACCAAAACAAATATAAATCACAAACATAAGCCAAATCAGGAATTAACTCAAAACACAAAAACTAAACTAAAACATCTAAAGTCATGACAAAGATTTGATTTTATTGCATATTCTCCTGAAATATAACATTCAATATCACCTTGTTACTGAAGAGAAGATGCTTCCAGCAGATAAATCAACTCCTTCACTGCTATATTTGATCACACTCTGGATAAGGAATATTTCAGCCCAAAGTACAGGTAGTTTTTATTTTAAGTTTGAGCAAAATGTGTTTTTAGAAAAAAACATGTATGGCTATCTTCCCTTCAGACTGACAGCCAGAGTTAGTGCATGCTGTGTTCAGAGACCCGAGCCTCCAGAGATCTATTAGCCAACACACCAAACATGGAGAAGAAATTAGTTCAGGTGGAGACATAAAAGGTAAGTGAGCAGAAAAAGTCACTATTGATTCTGTGTTGTGATTCCTCGTGGACACTGTACCACACAGACATAAGTTATCGGGTTTGTTTGTGTAGGTTTCTTGGTTATTTTCAAGTCTCATTTTGTTCTCTGTTTCCTACCTGTTTTTCTTTATTCTGGCTCTCTCACTATCAACATATGAGAATAACTGTGTGCTCCCCGTGTAATTTGCTTTGTTGTTAATTAGATTTCACTCTAGGTGGACATTTATTAAACTATGGCAGCGTGAACTCCGCCTCCACCTGTAGTTCCTTCCCAGGCTGCCTTTGTTTCCTTCTGCTTTTTAAATGAACTTATTCACATTTTTTATCAGCCAGTGTACCTGAGATTAACAAGGATAAACAAACAAAAGGTGCTTTGAAGCGGAAAGCTGACAACAAAAACCAAAGTGCAAAACAAAAAAGGTTTATTTGACACGGATCTGATGCTGAACAGAAGAAAGTTAACAACGATGAGTTGGAAATTGGCACCTCAAGGTTGATCTCACCTTTCCAACTAATGTGTAGAATAAAGAAATCAACAAAGAAATGTAACTTTATTATTTTTCATGACAGGAAGTTATTAATATTCAGAATCCAAAAAGCAGTAAATTGGAGAGAAAATCTACTGGAAAGTTCAGCGAATGACTGCATTAAATTGTACCTATACTTAAAGGTACAACGAGTAAGAATTTTATAACAAAATATTCACAAAACATTTAATGTTTTAATCATGTTGGAAGGAAGGTTACATTGAAACAGGTCTTCTTCTCAGTCGGCCGGGGAGGTTGTTAGATTTCTCCAGTTAAAAAGGCTAAAAAGAGGCAGATGGTGTTTCTAAATGCCTTGATGTCTTGGCCCCGCCCCGGTTGCCCAGGAGATACGTCATTGGGAGCCGCCAAGACGTGTTCCAATGTTTATGCTCTACGAGACGTGTGTTCTCTGTTTGTTAGCCATTTAGCTAGCGGAACGAGGACACACGCGAAGTGTCTTTCAGCCAAGCCTTGGTCAAAAATTACCCAGAATACGCCGCTGTGTTTTCAAAGGATGGCGGATCAGAAGCCGGCAGCTACTTCGGGGACAATTTTCAAGTTTTAAAGTAAGTAAACTAATTTAAACTGTTTTTTTTTTTTTAGATCCAACGAAGTTATCTATTGTTGGTTAGTTGCTTAGTAGTTGCAGCTTTGGTGGCTAGCGGGTAGTAACTCACTTATATTTTTAATTAAATTAGCATATACACAATTTAAACAGTAAAAGGCTTGTCATATATTTATATTGAAACCAATACGTATAAAATATTACGTTATCTCCCGTGTCATGTGACGTTACGTGACCGCCGTGGTCACGTGATGCAAGTCTGTTCCATTTAACCATTTTCTTTGACCAAGGAAGGAGAGTGTCCTTGTAAGCAAGGCACCTGGCCTCGCAAGACATCGCCTCACAAGGCCAGGTGCCTTGACATTGAGAAACACCTGTAGTCTTTGCTTACAATCAAGCCCGCACAATGCGGTTCAAAAACTGAGTCCAACCCGGAAGCACCAAAAATTGCAGTTCCACCCTCATCCGCTGGGGGCTGGTGTCAGAAGCGAGCAAATCCTCATTGACTCCCATGTTAAAAATACCAATTTCACAGCAGAAATAAACATGTTTACAGCCTCAGAGGCGGAGCTGGCCTAAATGGCGCCCTGTGCGAGATCCCCCTGTGACCCCCCCCCCCCCCCCACACACACACACACACACACACACACACACAAGAAAACAATTTACACCTACAACTTTGTTTCAAATTGCGAGGAGTGTATTATATATAACAACGTTTGCTAACTGAATACAACATCCAGCTCCTGGCCACCTTCTCACCACTTGTCAAAGTTCTACTGAAATAGTGATGATGACAACACCTGCCATCGCCTTCATTCCTGGGAAATATGAAAGTAGTTGGCACCTTGGTAGGTCCTCCTCGAACTAGCTCTGTGCGTATGCTGTTGGTAATTGGTGATGACCACTTGGTTGGGTCTGAAGAAAGAGGCTCATCATCACCTTCAATGGGACTCATTGGTTGATTGTTCAGGCTTCTCTATTGACAGAAAACAGAAGCATAACTCAACACATTGCTATGTGGACCATTTCACATATTCTATTAAAATACAATATGTGACATTCAAATTTCTCTAATGTTTGCAGGACACAAACACACACACACACACACACACACACACACACACACACACACACACACACACACACACACACACACACACACACACTTGTGCAAAACTTACCTGACGTATCTTGTTGGGGAGACGTGGCAGCTGGCTGTCCCTCATCAAGTTCACATATACTGGTAGGTCTCTCTATTGACAGAAAATGGAAGCATAACTCACCACATTGCTATATGGAACAATTCCCATATTCTGTGAAAATACTATTTAAATGTCTATAGCTAAATGTTTGCTGGACACACACACATGTGCAAAACCCACCTAAAGTATCTTCCTGGGGAGATGTGGTGCCAGCAGACTGTCCCTCCTCGAGTTCAAATACTGGCCTACTGGTATGAGCAGTGGAGGTAGATGGCTGTTCCTCAGTGGCAGCTGATGTCATCCCAAAATATCTGCATAGGGCTCCTGATGTTGCATAAAACAAACAATACAATCTTCATGTCACGTCTGTTGCTTTAGCATTTTAATTAACATGTTACAATGAGCATTTACAGTTTTCAGCCGTGGTGGAAAGCTTATACAGATAACACCAAATCCTTATCACTCAGTGTATAAACTAAAGAAAATGAAATGAGGTGAATCTTATTTATTTTCTTATGGTCCTCCAGTTTCAAAAAGCTGAGCTGCTCTCTATTAAAATGTTCAGCTGCTCCTCATCTCCATGTGTGAGCCAGGACTGATCTAAACCCAATGAACGATGATGGGTGTTTCAAATTTGATTTAGTTTGACTTGATTTGGTTGTGATTGCATCAATTCTAATGCTGTTGAAGTTCAGTGTTCTGCACTTTTGTTGGATAAAAGAACGCTTTGTCACAGCTACCTCCTCTTTTTATTGTAAAATGAAATAACAGTTTTCCATAATGCCACAAATTATACCATTAGTTACATGGTCTACAAAGTATTTTTAAGCTCACACTGAATAGCTAAAATGCAAAATATTAAAAATGCTTATTGTTATTAACTGAAAAAACAGCCTGCATGTGTTCATAACCAGCTAAATAATATCTTTTAAAATGCATTGTATATGCAATCAATCAATAAAGTGTAGGGCTTTACTGTAAATCTGTTTCATGAGATATATTTTTAAAAGTCTAAGAAATAGAGAAGTTTTTCTAAAATGCATAGTTGATAAATAAAATAAATAAAAACATTGAATACTTACATTAAACATTACATACAAACATTAAAACAAACAAACTGTGCAGTTCTTTATTTTCCCTCCGTGTGACTTGAACATTGTTGTACTATTAGACACGACATGTAATTGTTAAATTGACTCCCTTTTATTTTGCAATGACATGATAGCATTGATCCAATCACACTGTGCATACCCATGACTCATCATTAATCTTCACACACACAAAAATCTAACATTGAACAGAAAAACGTTGAGCTTGTGAGTTTCTCCATGAACACGATTCATGATCTACTTCAGGCGATTTACTGTGTCGTTTGATCCAAGCCTATAAACTCACAAGATGTCTAAAACTCCAACATATCGACACAGGTGCAGTGATTCAGTCGTGCAGTCTCCTGGACAGATCTGTGCAGCGTGTCTGATGAATGATTGTGTTGCATGTTACAGGACATCGTTCAGCACTGGTGGCCCTGTGGTAAATGAGCCCTTTACAATTATCTTACATTTTTGAGTCCCTTTTCACTCACTGGGAGACGTTTTTGTATAATGCAGATGGAATCTCTTGAGTGAGATTTCTTTTGAGAAATAGTTCACCACTTATCTGTAATTATCTGTTACGTAATCACCACACCGTGGCAATTATTCTGCCTTTAGCAATGGTGAAAATCCCAGCAGGGATGACTCCTCTTTAAACTCGCTCCTCTCTATTCTCTTGTCATTTTTTTTCTCACCAGAGACGCTGCATCACAAACTCATATCAGCTTTTATATCCAGTCTGCCAATCAAGATTAGGTGACCTTTATGAACTGATCCACCAAAATCTTGCATAAACCATCTGTCAGCGGTATATTGGCTTGAATAGATGGACTTAAAGTGCTCATCTTTGGCAGTTTTTACAATGCTGAAGACCTATTTTTGTGATCAGGCTTTTAACTCTGTGGGTTGAATTTTACCTGTTAGTATAACTTGATTTATTGTGTTGTTTGGGCTTGTTTCATTATTGATTTTGTCCATTAATCCATCCATTTTCATCTGCTTATCCGGAGTCGAGTCACAGGGACAGTAGCCTAAGGCGAGAGGCCCAGACTTCCCTCTCCCCAGCCACTTGGGCCAGCTCCTCCGGGGGAATCCCAAGGCATTCCCTGGCCATGTGAGAGACATAGTCCCTCCACCGTGTCCTGGGTCTACCTTTAGGTCTCCTCCTTGTTGGACGTGCCCAGAAAACCTCACCAGGGAGGCGTCCAGGAGGCATCCTGACCAGATGCCCGAGCCACCTCAACTGGCTCCTCTCGATGTGGAGGAGCAACGGGTCTCACCCTATCTCTAAGGGAGAGCCCAGCCACTCTTCGGAAAAAACTCATTTCGGCCGCTTGTATCCACGATCTCGTTCTTTCGCTCACTACCCAAAGCTCATGACCATAGGTGAGGGTAGAAACGTAGATCGACCGGTAAATCGAGAGCTTCGCCTTCTGACTCAGATCGCTCTTCACCACGACAGACCGGTACAACGCCCGCATCACTGCTGACGAAGCACCAATCTGCCTATCGATCTCACGCTCCAGTTTTCCCTCACTCGTGAACAAGACCCCAAGATACTTAAACTCCTCCACTTGGGGCAGGACCTCATCCCTGATCCGGAGAAGGCATTCTACCCTTTTCTGAATCAAGACCATGGTCTCAGATTTAGAGGAGCTGATTCTCATCCCAGCTGCTTCACACTCGGCTGCAAACTGCTCCAGCGAAAGCTGAAGATCACTGATGAAGCCAACAGGACCACATCATCTGCAAAAAGCAGAGACCTGATCCTCAGACCACCAAAACGGATGCCCTCCCCACCTTGGCTGCGCCTAGAAATCCTGTCCGTAAAGGTTATGAACAGAATCGGTGACAAAGGGCAGCCTGGCTGAGTCCAACTTTCACTGGGAACGAGCCCGACTTACTGCCGGCAATGCAGACCAAGCTCTGACACCGGTCATACAGGGACCTACCAGCCATTATCAGAGGTCCTGGTACCCCATACTCCCGGAGTACCCCCCACAGGGCCCCCCGAGGGACGCGGTCAAACGCCTTCTCCAAATCCACGAAACACATGTAGACTGGTTGGGCAAATTCTCACGCACCCTCCAGGATCCCCTAAGGGTATAGAGCTGGTCCAGTGTTCCACGGCCAGAACGAAAACCACATTGCTCCTCCTGAATCTGAGGTTCAACAATCCGATTGTCATGGTCCGTGGTGAGCTGTCAGCCTGTAACCCTGTTTTCTCCTGAGTATTGTTTTCACAGGTGGGCGTGTCTGAGAGCTCCCAGCTGCAGCTGATCTCACCATCAAGGCCCAGGGGATTTAAGGAGCAGTGTGACACGTCACCACACCGGATGATTACTCTTCTTGGGTAGCTCTAGCCTCCGAATCTGCTTAGAGATTTGTATTTGTTACTCTTGTTTTACCTGTCGCCTGAACATCCCTTGATGCCCTCTCCTGCTCTCCTCCAGGTTCCTCACAATTCCTCACCAGCTCCAGAACAAGACCCGGATCTCAGCCTGCCTGACACACTGCTTCACCCCCTGGCCGCCCGCTCTCAGTCGCTCACCTACCAACGTCCATTCTTGCTCCTACACCTCTGGACAAAACAATCCCGTTACCTGTGGATCTCCTCAGCTCACCAGGACCTAACAACCTTCCTGTACAATTACCACTACCAAGAAACAGTAAGACCAGTCTTTCAGACAACGTTTCCATTTGTTTTCGCCTCATATTCACTCTGTCTCCCTCCTTAGAATCTCCCCCCTGGATTCCTGCTGCCAGTCCTGCATCTCGTCTGTTCCCGTCTCTCACATCGCTCTTTATTTAGAAATAAAAACCTTTTTACTTACTTTCTTGTTCTCCGTATGGTGATTCTGCATGTCGTGGGTCAAGAAACTTCCTCCTGCCATGACACCGATGGACCCTCCTCTCCAGAACCCCTGAATAGACCTTACCAGGAAGGCTCAAGAGTGTGATCCCCCTGTAGTTCAAACACACCCTGCGGTCCCCCTTTTTAAATAAAGGGTACCACCACCCCGGTCTGCCAGTTCAGTTGGACTGCCCCCGATGTCCACGCGATATTGCAGAGCCGTGTCAGCCTAGCCTGGCAAGCCAGACTAAATAAATGTATTATTTAATCTGGCAATGCTCCATTGACGGCTCTCGGTTGTGGGGCAGGTTCTACTGTTGTCTTTCAAATGATCTCCGCATTCCACTGGACAATGAATGTGACATACTCTTGTTTCACTCTGTTGCAGCATCCCACCCACCAGGCATATAGAGTGCCCTGATTGGCCCACAAAGCAGATAAAGCTCTTTGATTTGTTCACTAAGCAGATAGAGCACTATGATTGGCCCACCATTATGGACCAATCACAGCTCTTTATGTGTTTGAAACCCCTCTAGAGAGCTGTGATTGGCTAGCCAGAGTCCTGGCAGGAGCTGTGAAGGTTCCAATGGAGCGTGCCTAGACCAAACTTTGCAAAGCGAGACTTTGGTCTAGTTCACGAGGCTAGTGTCAGCCAACACGGCCCCACAACATCCAGAGCCTTAAGGAACTCCGGGCAGATCTCATCCACCCCTGGAGCCTTGCCACAGAGGAGCTTTTTAACCACCTCAGTGACCTCAGCACCAGAGATTTGAGAGGCCAACCCAAAGTCCCCAGAATCTGCTTCCTCACTGGAAGACGTGTCTGTGGGATTGAGGAGGTCTTCGAAGTTTTCTGCCCACCGATCCACAACGTCCTGGGTAGAGGTCAGCAGCACACAGTCCCCACTATAGATTGTGTTGGTATGACACTGCTCCCCCCCCCCCCCCCCCCCCCCCCCGAGGTGCCGTATGGTGGACCAGAATTTCCTCAAAGCCATAGGAAAGTCTTGTTCCATGGTCTCACCAAACTGCTCGCATGCCCGGGTTTTTGCCTCAGCGACCACCTGAGCCGCGTTCCGCTTGGACTGCCGGTACCCGTCAGCTGCCTCAGGAGTCCCACAGGCCAGAAAGACCAGATCGGACTCTTTCTTCAGCTTGACAGCATCCCTAACCACCGGTGTCCACCATAGGGTTCAAGGGTTGCCACCACGACAGGCACAGACGATCCTGCGACCACAGCTCTGGTCAGCCGCCTCAACAATGGAGGCACGGAGCAGGGTTCATTCAGACTCAATGTCCCCCGCCTCCCCCGGAACATTTTGGAAGTTCTGTTGGAGGTGGGAATTGAAGCTCCTTCTGACAGGAGACTCTGCCAGACGTTCCCAGCAGACCCAGGCAATACGTTTGGGCCTGCATGGTCTGACCGGCATCCTCCCCCACCATCTGAGCCAACTCACCACCAGGTAGTGTTCAGTTGACAGCTCCGCCCCTCTCTTCACCCGAGTGTCCAAGACATGCGGCTACAGGTCAGATGAAACAACAACAAAGTCGATCATCAAGCTGCGGCCTAAGGTATCCTGGTGCCAAGAACACATAGGGACACCTTTATGTTTGAACATGTTGTTCATTATGGACAATCCATGACTGGCACAGAAGTCCAATAACTAAACACCACTCAAATTCAGATCGGGGGGGGGGGGGGGGGGGGGGGGGCTGTTCCTCCCAACCACACCTCTCCAGGTCTCACTGCCATTGCCCACGTGAGCGTTAAGTCCCCCAGCAGAATGGGGGAGTCACCGGAAGGAGCGCTCTCCAGCACCCCCTCCAAGATCTCCATAAAAGGTGGGTAGTCTGAACTGTAGTTTGGTGCATAAGCACAGACCACAGTCAGAACCCGTCCCCCCACACATAGGCGGAGGGAGGCTACCCTCTCATTCACCGGGGTAAACCCCAACGCCCAGGCACCAAGATGGGGGGCAACTAGTATGCCCACCCCTGCTCGGCGCCTCTCAGTGGGAGCAACTCCAGAGTGGTAGAAAGTCCAACCCCTCTCAAGGAAACTGGTTCCAGAGCCAGAGCCGTGCATTGAGTGAGTCTGACTATATCTAGTCGGAACGTCTCAACCTCACACACTAACTCAGGCTCCTTCCCCACCAGAGAGGTGACATTCCATGTGCCAAGAGCCAGCTTCTGTAGCCGAGGATCAGACCGCCATGGCCCCTGCCCTCGACCACCACCCGTTACACACTGCACCCGACCCCTTAGGCCCCTCCCACGAGTGGTGAGCCCATGGGAAGGGGGACCCACGTTTCCTCTTCGGGCTGTGCCCGGCCGGGCTCCATGGGTGAAAGCCCGGCCACCAGGCGCTCGCCAACGTGCCGCACCTCCAGGCCTGGCTCCAGACGGGGGCCCCGGTGACCCACGTCCGGGCAAGGGAACACGATTTCCATTTATATAATGCATCATAAGAGGTCTTTGGGCTGCTCTTTGTCTGATCCTTCACCTACGATCTGTTTGCCATGGGTGACCCTACCAGAGGCATAAAGCCTCAGACAACTTAGCTCCTATGATCATTGAGACACTCAAACCCCTCCACAACGGTAAGGTGACAGCCCAGGGAGATTGATTTTGTGTGTTTTAATAATGTTTATGCCTTGGTGACATGTTATGTCTGTATGGTCAGGGGCCAAATAAATAAAGGTTGAGTTAAGTGCTCAACTTGGAGACAGGAAATTTAACATTTACCATGAAACTATTGGAGAATCAATTAAAAGTTTTGGAGTATGGAGTTTTATACATATTACAACGTCCGCATCTCTTTTTAAACCAACCCCTTATAAAGCTGTGACTTATTCAGCCATAAGTTGCTGCTTGGTGGATGTTAGTACTAGAAAACTGCCAGGTTCTTGTCCTAAAGAGTCTAAAAAAGTATTGCTTCAACTGGTTCTCCCTTAAAAAATAGGGAAAATCATTAGTATGCAGAAAATTGTTTAGTATTATTCCTGTCATATTTTTTTGTGTTAAATAGTTGAAAATGTTGCACATCATCCTTCCCTAAAGTATATACATTTTTTTTTACCAAATGTCTTTCTTGACGTTGTCTTGAATGTTTGTAAAAATAAAAAAAAAAGGAAAAATAACGACTGGTCGCAGCTACTCCTATCTTCAGAAGCCCACTGAAAAAAATAAAATGAAAATTCAGATGCTTTTCAATATGCAGAGTTTTAAATAAGTAATGACATTAACAATTTATAGACTGAAAGAATGACAGGAAGTTCAGGAGCTGATGACCTGAAAAACAAGCTCAAACACAAACGGGCAACATTAATATATATTCTGTGCCTTGAAGAGCATCTCTCCTATGTGTTGATTTTGTCACTCCATGATGAAAGCCTACATTCCGCTTCCATTTGAACAGGGATATCTGCTGAGTGTGCAAACGCAGCCTTTTAAAAGAATATTTAATCTCTGAAGAACAGCTGTGAGTTTATTTTGTATAGTTATCTAAAAAAATTCAAGTACATATATTATTTCACTGCCCAAGGAGAATTCTTAAAAAAATAAGCACACATTTCAGGAGAAAAATAATACATTTTATACTTTTTATAAATCTTGTCACACCTTCTTCCATCTAATTAACACAACAACTCCCTCTCAATAGAGGCCAACGACTCATCGGGGGATGGAGAGGAGAGGTACCCAGAGTAGTCTCTGCTTGTTAAATAACTACAGACAGCTACAGCTTATGAGCTTGACTCTCCCATATTTCAGTTAGAATTGACAAAGCTCCTCAGATGAGAAGCGAAACGTCTTCAAGAAACAAAAGATGTCCAGTTGCCATCATTTGAACACTGTGGATTTAATAAATCTTAATAAGTAATTTTCCTTTGGCACATGATGGGTGTTGAATTCAACTTGACAAAATGGAATTTTATTTTATTTTAATGCATTTAATAGTCTAATAAATAAATAAGGAGTAAACTGATTTATAGGAAAGGGGAAATTTTATTATAAACAGAACATCTGGAGTAGGGCTGCACAATATATCGCTAATATATCGTTATCGCGATATCAGCACATGCAATGTGCATATCCCAAAGAACAGATAAATATCATAATGAAGGGTCAGCTCAAATGTTTGCTAAACATAATGCATTCTGTCAATCAGACTGAAGCATTATGTTTTTTTAACAAATCAAATGGAGCTCTTCACCCATTTGGCCCGCCCCCGACATTTAATTTTGATGGTTAGCAAACACCTGAGTTAGCTTTGTTCTGCCCTTTCTGCTGATTCTGCTTTTCTCGGGATCCACTGATTGCCATTGACTGTTCATTTCCTTTTTCCCTTTCCTAACATCTTTTGCTTTTTTAATTTTTATGATAATTTAGACATTTTTTATTTCTTTGTAATTGATTATTTTTGTTCCTGAGTAAAGTTTTTATTTATTTATTGCAAGTAATATCGTCATCGCAATATTAATCACATATCGCAGGTTTTTCTAATATCGTGCAGCCCTAATCTGGAGTGCAGCTGGCACTTCTTCTGACAACAATATGCTCTGCAGCTGATGAAGAGAAAAAACAAAAGTGGCTTACAGATTATATTGTGAAGAACCCACGATGCCTGAAGAAAACATGATAGTGCAAAACACCAGCAGTCACCATTTTCTAGGTCCAAACGTCTCTTTTTTGTGTCCTGGGATTCAAGTGGTGTTTTTCTTTTTGGGTCTCTGGTTAGTTTGTTCTAAAGTTCAAGTGGTAGGGTTAGGGTTAGGTTTTTAAATACAGTCTGATGCTCTGATGTTAGTTACAGTCTTCTGACACAACATATATGCTAAACAGAAAAAATTTCTACTTTCAAAGATGTGCAGTACACAGAATGCAGCTCATGAGGTTGAAGGGGTTGCCCAGTAATCTGAAGGTTGCAGGTTCGATCCTGGCTGCAGACAGAAAAATCTGCTGTTGTGTCCTTGGGCTAGACATAGACACACAACCCACCTTGCCTGCTGGTGGTGGTCGGAGGGACAGGTGGCACCAGTGCTTGGCAGGCTCTCCTCTGTCAGTGCGCCCCAGGGCAGCTGTGGCTACAATGCCACATCACCATCAGTGTGTGAATGGATGAATTATACACTGTAGTGTAAAGAACTTTGGAGTCCTTTGACTCTGAAAGCTGCTACACAAGCGCAGGGCATTTATCATCTTTTTCTTTCTTCATATGAAATGTCTTTTGTTAGAAAACCACTGAAACCCAACTCAGTTATTCAGAACTTTAAGTATGTCTAGCCTTCACACCAGCACAGACAAAAGCTCCTTCTCTGATATCGTTGAGCCACAAACCTCTCCCACCAGTTGTGTTCTGCTCATCGACATATTCTGCTGCAAAATACACAGGTGTGTAATGAATGGAGGACCCAGGGAAGTGTGGCAGTTCAGCGAGACAAACAACCGGTTGATTCAATAGTTGCTTTCTGTCCAAAACGTATTATTGGTGAAGGTTTTTTTAGACAAATGTGTGAGAACCCTTTTATTTATTTAAAGGGGTACTTTGAAATGTTTCACTTTTTAAAATTATTTTCTTGAGCCAGTATGTGCTAAAAAGATTCTTTACAGGGTTAATGAAAGGCCATCCAGCTCTTATCGCCCCTGTGGCCTGAATATTCCGCTTACAACTTCAGAGTTGATGGTCTGGACTGTGGGAAAAATTGAGCTGACATACCTGGTGCTGCAGTCTGGTTCCAGCACGTTTTCTGCATAATTTTGATCATGAACACAGCTGATTTGTTTCATTTAGTGATGAATCATTCATGTACATGACACTAAGGAAAGCTGGGGAGACATTTCAGCTGTTAGATTAAGGCATTGAGATGAACACAGCGAGGAGATATGTTTGCCTTTCGGTTCTCCAAACAGACACTAGGGGGTGCTAAAAGCAAACCAAAAGTGCCTAATCGCCCGTAAAATTTCCTAAATATATTTTGATTTATACTTGCAGTAACAGGCATGAAAAAATGTTTTAAGCCAATTTGTTTTCCAAATTTGCCATTGTAGCTTTAAAAACAAGAAACGGTTGCTGAAATGGCTGCAGCTGCTGTCTATGTATTCACAGGAGCATTGTCCTTCTCTTTTAAGATTTATTTATTTATTTCAGATAAACCTTCACTGGCCATCTTCATAAAATGCATCTTCTCTTCTGCAATGGAACACATGTGGCTCTAAACTTAAATAACTCTTCACAGGAACTTTGCCTCAGGCCATGCTCCAGATGCTCTAGACATCATGATTTAGTTTTTATCAAACGTTGAAATTTACCGCTGAAAGCAGACTACATCTTTTTGGAAACTCTGCCTATGGTTAAAATACTTAGCTATCAGTTTTTTTTGTAATCCAGCTAAAGGCTATAACAAATTAGCACACACCCAGCTTCAATGCTAGGAAGGTAACAGTTCACTCGCCAATATCCATCTCAAGAGAACTTCATTTCCCAGAAGTCTTAGACCAACCTTTACTAGAAACCCGGAAGTAAATCAAATTTGTTTTCACCGTGTGGTGGACAGCAGGAAAGTTGCCCCACAGAGTGGAGTGACGTTTGACATTTAAATAAGGCGAGTTCTTGTGTCCTTAGTCCTTAGTGCCATCATTTATTAATTTGTCGACGCTTTTGATATAAAAAACAAACAAACTCAACAGGTAGGAACTTGTTTTTATTTGTTTTACTACGCGCATTTACTCGCGTAGTAAAAATGTGTTTGCAGGTTAAATAAATATGAAAAGCACCATTTTAAGTTTATTTAAATCATTTTGTGCTGTTTTTTTTACTAGAGTAAACCCATGTAGTAGAACGTAGTGTTGCTAGCTTGTGTGATCCTTAGCTAACTTCAGTGTTGCTCACGCGACCCTCCAGTTTGTTATTTTTTATACTTCGTTTAGTCAGCTGAGGTCAACCAGTAACAGACATTTATTTGAACCGGTAAATAGTAGTTTAGGAAATCCAAACTTTAAAGCCTTTTGTGATAAGTAGCTTCCCTCACAATCAGTTAAAGATTAGCACTTTATCTGATGTCTCATGTCAGATAGGTTTATGTTTGCTGTATTTGAAAACATTTTTACTGCGAGTTAGTTAGCATTCACAGACTAAGCACGTACTCTAAACAAACAAGTGCATTTTGTCTCAGTTTAAAGTCCAAAGTTGGATAACTGAAGCAGCTCCTCTCACCACGTCTGAGTTTTAGGTAAAAATGGAAACTATTCAGAACTGAAACATGTTTGGTTTTTAGAAAATAGATGGTCACAGAACTCGCTTAAAGTTGTCACTGCATTCAATGTTTAATAATCACTGACTAATTCGGCGTTCATAAAAAGTGAACTGAAGAGCTTCCATCAGAAGGTTACTTTGGTTTAGTTTAAGGCAGGCATGTCCAGTCGACAGTGGCCCTGGAGGACCAAGATTGGACACTGCTGGTTTCAGGTTTATTATGCTCAAGTCAGTTCAATTCCTTGACTGTCACCACATTATTGGATAATAGATGAAACTTTATTACTTAAAGGCCTACTTGTAAATTACTGTGGTATACTTCAACCCAAAGGTAAATGAATTTACCACAAAATCTGTACTACAGTGCATCGATTCTAGAGCATCTTTGAAATATTTAATGTACACTTGAATACGAGAACCCTAAATTGGTGATATTTTGTTATATGTTGTTATATACTTATGGGCCATACCCATCTGTACTGGGTCGACCCGGGCCGGGTAGCGTAGGTTGTTTACATATCTGAGTGGCCAGGTATTTTTCCGGGCCAACCAAGGCTCATTCTCAGCCCTCTTCTCGAGGGGGTCTACTTCAGGCCGACCAGGGCCAACACACCCACTGCTGACAGCAAATTCACACCTTCCATTAGAGCAAGCCTCTGATTGGTGGGTAGAATCAGCCCACATGGGCTTAAGGCAAGGATGTGTGGAATCAACCGGGCCAGGCTGGGGCCGACTGGGGCTACCCGGCCCGGGCCGACCCGGTACAGATGGGAATGGCCCATTAGACTCACCAAAGCGGGGCTGTTTTTATGAAATGTAATGTAAAAAAAAACTAAACTGAGTTTTGTGATTTGCTAATTGTTGGAAGTATTTCTTCTGCTGAAAATTGTACTGTGATAATATTTCATGCATACTTTCAAATTTAAAGACAAAAAATGGGACTCAATGCTCCCTGCTTGACACTCAGCTTTAAGGGGTTGGATTGGGGGGTTAAACCACCAAATATTTCCCGAGCGCAGCCACCGTAGCAGCCATGGCTGCAGCTCACAGCTCCCCATGGGGATGGGTCAAATGCGGAGATGTAATTTCACCTGTGTGTGATGATGACTAATGGGACATTAACTTTATTGGGAACTTACCAATAGCAGAAACAATAAGAAAATATAAATGAATAAAATGTTTTGTAAAGACTTTTTGAATTCAATGCTTTGAAATTTTTAGGAAGTGATTCAAATCAATGCCACTAGAAATATAGATTGTTGAAAAAACATTCAGCTGTTACATTTCCAATAAATGAATATATTGAATCTCTACTCTGTTATTGATGTGGTGCAGGTCTGAATAAATCATTAAATCATGGCGCTGGCGGGGGTGAGAGTTATCGAGCTGGCAGGACTGGCTCCTGCTCCGTTCTGCGGCATGATCCTGGCCGATTTTGGAGCCAAGGTGGTCCGTGTGGACCGAACAAAGACCTCCACGTCTCTGGACACACAAGCTCGGGGGAAAAGATCAGTCGCAATCAACTTGAAATCAGCAGAAGGCGTGGCATTACTCAGGAAGCTCTGTGTTCAGTCTGACGTGGTCCTCGAGCCCTATCGCAAAGGTCAGATATGCTTCAGACTGAAATCAAAAATTAAACACAACACTGCATGGCTACAATTGGTCTCAAGCTTTCTGATCTATATCAAGGAAGCTGTATGAAGTGTTTCTAATGACTTTCTTTTACATGCTCAGGTGTGATGGAGAAACTGGGCCTTGGTCCAAGAGAGTTGCTGAAAGAAAATCCTCGTCTGATCTACGCCCGGCTAACGGGTTATGGTCAGAGTGGGTCTTATGCCACCGCAGCTGGACATGACATCAACTACCTCGCTATGTCGGGTAAAATAATCCACACGGTTCAAGTTCTGAGGTCTCTTTTGCCGCCCACTAGAGCTAACTGGATTTTTCCCCTCTATACCTTTACTTTATATTTAACATAGGAGCAGCAAGTTTGATGGTTGGATCTTGTTGGTTCCGACTTTTTGTTCAGCATACAAATTTTAAATCAGGTCAGGCGTCCAATGCGTCCTGGAAAACCAGGAAAACGATTGACCAATTTTCCAATCATGGAAATCACAAGGAAAATGGGGGGGGGGGGGAGTAAAATGTCCTAGAAACTTTTGAGTTGTCCAGGAAAATAATTTTCCCTTCTTGTAGATGAGCACAAATGGATTAAACTATGAATGTGTGATTTCAGCTGTCTTCACCGGACAGTACTGCGCTGTAGCGCTTGTCTGTTTTAATTTCTGCATCTAGCCGGCACAGCTCCATGTGGGACGTTACAAACCAATCAAGTTGCATATTCCCTTAGAACAGTTGTGCCTCCCAGTGTTTCCATCTGTCTGTGTTGCTAGATTGACTGATTTTTCAGACCCAAGTAAGGATTTATTTCTCTAACAAAGGGTCAAACCTAGCTACAGTAGATCGATTGAGAGGTTATTCTCCCTCTCTGTTGAGTGACAAAGGAGCAACGGATAGCTGTGGGTGTGTCGTCACTAGGGCTGCAACAAACGATTATTTGGATAATCGATTAATCGGATGGGGTCTCGACACGATTAATCGATTAATCGGATTACATGGGGAAATTTTTAAAAACTGCTAGGGAAACGTTATTTCTCTCCTTCCTTCACTTTATTTAACACAACATTATTAGAAAACAGTTCAATAGCAGAAAAACAACATGCCATCACCTAAATTGTCTTATAAGGTGTATAGACAGAGACCCTAAGCTACATCTATCTGTGACCTAAAATGCTTGGTCCAAGTTAAACAGCTTAAGGGCAATTCTCATCTGTTTTGTTTGATCTCATCTGTTGACATTTATTTTAAATGTAATTAAACATAGGCTGTGAATTAATCAAAATTGATCACTATTTCCAAAAATGACTGAAAAAATACCAAATAAAACAAAAGTAAATGAATGCCATCCTCCTTGCGATGATGCCCTGGGCAACTGCCATAAAGTCACATCAAGAAATGCTGCTGATCATTCCAATGATCCCAAATAGACTCACATTAGGCCACATGAAAGCAACTGAACCCAAAAATATATTAACCAGTATATAACTGCCCTCTCACACAACACGCCTGCAGCAACAGTTAGGACTCCTCCCTCCCTTTTAAAAGCGTTTTTGCTTCCGAGGACATTGTGGTTGTAAAACCACATAATAGTAGTCTGGCCCCGGTGTGATCAACCAGTTTCTGCGGGAATGTGACGGCGGAACCAGGGCCAGATTAACACTTTGTTGTACCCTGGGCAACAATATTCAAGGGCTCCATCATCACGACCCAAGGATCACCATAATGTGGTCACATACAGAATATTTTACTGTAATATGCAGTAAATATACTCAATACTTGAATGCCTGACAACACGTAACCCGCCCAGAGTAACCTTTGACCCACCTCGTGTGGACTGACCAATGAGGAGAGGGTCTTAACTTGAGGCCCTCTCTTCATTGGTCAGTCTGCATGAGACTGACTCTCAACTGACGTTCAGTCATAGGCAGCGAAGCGTCTCTGTGCAGCACAAAAGCCCGGGTGGACAGTTTGTTTAATGTAGGGTGACCATATTTCCATTTCCAAACAAGAGGACAGGGGATCTGTGCCTATGACGTCACACTATGGCAACGCCACACAAACCATGTTGGGACCCATTTTTTGTAAGAACTAAATTAATATCAGATTCTGCCAATTAAAGGGCTCTAAAACAATTCATATGTAAATATTTTGCATATTTAATGCAAAATCTAATTTTTCTGCTTTAGTGCTGCAACAAGGTTTTATTAATAATAAATTATTATACCTTTTGTTTTACTACAGCATCGGTAAGCTTCCTGTGCACAGATTATTAAGGATGCTTGTTTCAGCTGTGAGGTTAGACGATAGGATCAATGAAAAAATAAGTTGTCACACACTCCATGGAAACTTTCAGAGAATCCACAAATAGTGGCTTTCAAATGGTTTTGTTAATTTTTGCAAGTTTATAAAAGAAGCTGATGAGACAGCGTGTGTGATAATTTAGTTTTTCATCTGATAATATTAGAACATGTCAGTAATGTCTGAGGGGCTTTTATAAACACCGTATAACTAACACTACTGGAGAGGGCATGAATTACACAGAGGCTTCTGGGGAGCCCAGTTATTGGGGGGGGGGGGGGGGGCATTTTGCCTTGGCCCCCAAAATGTCTTGAAACGGCCCTGGGTGTGTGACTGAGTTTTGAAGGTGATCTGAATTGTATCAGATGTGTAAATATGACATGTGTATAACTTATTGTTTTTTATAGGTAAAAACGTGTAGTGGTGATAAATCTACTTACATTTTACTTTTCAACACTTTGTTTTGTTTTCTTGTTTTTATTTAACTATTTTCCTGTCCTGTCTGTCTCTCATCTTCCTGCATCTCCTCTTAATTCTCCAGAAAATCTGCTGCCTGGATTCTTACCTTTTCACCTCATCAGTTACTTTTGAGCAGATCAAAGATCTCCTGACCGAAAAGCGCAGAGCGCGTTTTCGATGCTGCGTGAGGTGACATCACCACAGCACAGGTGATGAGCTCCGCAGTAGCGAGCTTCAGGCACAAATAAGACAGAAAATAGAGAACATGTGCGGACAAGAACGATCGTGTGCTAATTATAGTTTTTTGGTTGCGCCACTTTGAGAATGGACCGTGCGCTGGAAGCAGCTGCCTGGATCGCTGTGCAACAATGCGGAACCGGTTCGCAGCAGCGCAAGTCTGCCGGCTCTCCCTCGCGCTGATCTGCCGCTACCGGCTCTCCCTCACGCTGATCTGCGGCTCTCCCTCACGCTGATCTGCGGCTCTCCCTCGCGCTGATCTGCCGGCTCTCCCTTGCGCTGATCTGCCGGCTCTCCCTCGCGCTGATCTGCGGCTCTCCCTCGCGCTGATCTGCGGCTCTCCCTCGCGCTGATCTGCGGCTCTCCCTCGCGCTGATCTGCGGCTCTCCCTTGCGCTGATCTGCGGCTCTCCCTTGCGCTGATCTGCCGCTACCGGCTCTCCCTCACGCTGATCTGCGGCTCTCCCTCACGCTGATCTGCCGGCTCTCCCTCGCGCTGATCTGCGGCTCTCCCTCGCGCTGATCTGTCGGCTCTCCCTTGCGCTGATCTGCGGCTCTCCCTCGCGCTGATCTGCCGGCTCTCCCTCGCGCTGATCTGCGGCTCTCCCTCGCGCTGATCTGACTTGCTCTGGTCTGCGCGCAACGGCGGGCGGGAAGGGGGGGGGGGGGGGGGGGGGCGCTTTTGGAAGAGTTGTGCGACACAACGAATCGATGACGCAATTCGTTGCCAACGCTTTTAGTAATCGATTTTCATCGAATTTATCGATTCGTTGTTGCAGCCCTAGTCGTCACTCATGGAGGGGCAGATCATTTCGCTACCATTCGTCGTACGTCTTGTCTTGTAGCCTGAGGAGTTTCAGACTTTTTCTTTGCTCTTTCAGAGAACTTCAGTTTGTGGAGCTGTCCTGCTGGGAGGTAGACTGCAGTGCCTTACTAATAATTTTCAAAAACACGTCAGCCTTTTTTCTTGAATCAAATATGTACTGACTGGGTGTGTGTGTGCCTTCTACTCAGAAAATCAGCACTTTTGTAAATGGTAAAGCAGTGGTTCCCAAACTTATTTAGCCGCGCACCCCCTTCTATGTCCCGACCATGTTGAGCGTATGTTGTGCGTAATCAAATGTCAATAGGGGACAAGATATAGCCATGATGTTCACTTTTACCTCAGACCGACTTATTGCTGTTTTATGGTGTGGCTGAATCTGCGATCCGCTGCCATGCGGACTGGAATAAGAAATGCTGCAGGACTTGTGGTCAGGTTCATGAGGAGTCACTGGCTGTAGCGGACCCGACTCATCCCAGAAGCTAAAATCTTAATTTGACCTTGAATTAAAAATAACCTCTTAAAAGTTTTTATCACGGTGGAGGCAGCGTTCATTTCTGCCTTCAGTCTGACGGCGCACCGGAGTTAAAGCAGCGTGTGCGCTTATTGAATCTGTGTGCGTGTGTGTGTCTGTGTGCGCGCGCGGCACAGCCGCTCAAGTCACCGCGTCTCGCGCTATTTAAACCAATGTTGTAAAATGACTTCTGCCCAGCCCAGATGTGCTCACTTGTGCACCCGTGAGCCGTGGTTCAGCCGGAACGCGTCTGACCTCTGATAGACGCACTCTGAACTTCAGATCTTCAGCGTGCTGTCAATAGCCTGAATGGGAATCATTTCTTGTTATTTTGTTACATCCACGATGTTCTGTGTGTGAGGTTTACAATGTCAGAACACCTGCATGAGACAGGTGTTAATTACAATCTGCCAGAATGACTCACCACCTTCAGATTTCTCCAACACTGTTAAAAATGATCAAATACGGAACACATTGGCGTGCGCAGGCCAGAGTGCTGAAGCTCGGCGCATTATTATTATGAAGCTAGGGCATATGTGGAGGGCGCGCGCGCAAAAATATACAGGTGCTGGCCAGTAAATTAGAATATCATCAAAAGGTTGAAAATATTTCAGTAATTCCATTCAAAACGTGAAACTTGTACATTATATTCATGCAATGCACACAGACCAATGTATTTCCAATGTTCATTACATTTAAATTTGATATTCATAAGTGACAACTAATGAAAACTCCAAATTTGGTATCTCAAAAAATTAGAATATTCTGAAAAGGCTGAATATAGAAGACACCTGCTGCCACTCTAATCAGCTGATTTACTCAAAACACCTGCAAAGGCCTTTAAAAGGTCCCTCAGTCTTGTTTTGAAGGCACCACAATCATGGGGAAGACTTCTGACTTAACAGCTGTCCAAAAGACAATCATTGAC